TTTACTGTCCACAGATTTATCAACTACATTAACAAAAATCTCACTAGAAGGAATGGATTGCTCCTTCAGCTTATCTCTCCTGACACCCGGCAACTTCTGAAGAGAACCAATATGTGACGTTTCCTTAGTATGCCACAATTTAGTGCCCCTAGCCATCTTATTTGTTCCTTTCAATATTCCAGATTTGGAATCCGAAAACTTCAGCACCTTAGGCACAAGCAATTGAGCAGGTGAAACCTTAGTTTTCCTGCTATGATGTGAACCACCCATTCCTTTCATTGCACCAACCCTGGCTTTCCCCAACTCATCCATTGTTACATTCTGAAATTGAATTTGTTCCATACTACAAGAACTTTCCTGAGCCAACATTTCCATATTAACCTTCTGAGCTTGTGAACTCTCCATAATAATAGCTTCATTCTGAACTGAACCATCCTCAATAACATTCTGATATTGAGTATAATCCATGCCACTTGACTTCTTCTGTACCTCATCTTTCAACCTCTGTTCCATCTCCTGACCATTCTCCTTCTGCAGTACACCCTTCTGTACCTTATCAACAACTCTCCAGACTGAATTAGGAGCAGGATTTGTCTGCTTACTGCCAACAGATTGAGGTCTCTGTCCAGATTTATTAACAGGTCTCTTCCTCCTAGTAATAATTATCCATTCCCCTTGATAAACATCTACAGCTACAGAGTTTGAGACTCTCCCCTTACCATCACAAGAAGGGTCATGCTTCAATCCTGAACCAGCTGCCTCAGTACCCGCTATCTTCTGTGACTCCCCAATTTCTAAGCCCTGTTGCTTAGGTAGAACACAAGTCTCCTTACACAGTTTAGCTTTATGACCAACGCTTCCACATCTTAAATAGATTTGAGGAATGCCTTCATATTCAATTGGTTGGAAAAACATACCTTCCAAACCATGAGCCCAAATACCCTTAGGTAATCTCTTAGATAAATCCAGTCTAATACAGATGCACGCAAATGCACATCTATTTCAAAGCTTGGTTTGCTCATCCATTAGTAATGGTTCCCCAATGCCCCTAGCCAGCCTAGCTAGATTAGCTTCATCCCAATATTCTAACAGTAAGTTTGGAAGTCTTACCCACACAGGAGACGTAAATCCTCTAAAAGATTTAGAAGAAATCCCTGTTGACCACTACTCCACCCCAATAATCTGACCAGCTACATACCACGGACCTCCAATAAGAACATTGTCCCTAGCCTCCATATTCACAAACCAACAGAGAAAGCAGTCAGATCCCAATGGCGTAATCTAAGTCAAACAAAGATGACTCCACTTCCTTTGCAACTCATTTTGCACAACCCAAAAAGGAAGACGCTTGCCTAATAGGCTGCCAACCAATGTTCTGCTCAACTTCTGAATTTTACCCCTAGCTTTACCCAAATCCAATTTAACTGAGCCATCTTCCCGCAAAAAACCGCCAGCATCTTCATTCAAATTAAGTTTAACAACAGGGGACTTCTTCCATGCATTCCTACCAATTCCCGTATCAACAAATTCTTTCTTAATTGCCTTCACAACAGCCGGATTTTGCCATGCTTGGATTGAAGGAAACTCTTTAGATTGATTATTTCCACAAACACCAGAAGCGCGTCCTGCAGAATTAAGTTTGATATTGCCTCCAAGACCAGCAATATCACCCCTAATTGGCTGTACACCATTCACCTCAGGTATTTTATCCAGAACACTGAAATTCAGACTACTATTGCCACGTAAAGCATTCAGACCTACATCACTATCAACTGGAACCATATCCATCTTCGCCAGGTCTCCAATACAACTCATCCGCCCAAACGTGAATAAAGGCTTATCATGTTCAAAAATGGGATTCTCCACTACCTTACTTCAATTGATTCCGTAGCAGCAGACAAATTTACCTTCTCAATTTTCGTCTCTCCTGCCATCTGAGGATCAATAGCCATATCACCTTGATTCATTTGGTCACCAGCAACCAATATTCCATCAGAAGAATAGCCATTCGCAACCTCCTGCATAATCTCTTCAGTCACAATGGAAACCACCTCCTCTAACTGATCCGCATATCCCATACTAGCCGCAACTTCCTTAATGAAGTCCTCAGCCTCAGATCCCCCAAGAATCACCATCGCATCCTCACGATCAGAAGACCCCTGCAATGGCACCACATGTACATCCAACACCTGATCTCCAACAAGAAACTCCCTCTCTAGCTCAGACGAAGGAACCACCTCTTTACCAGCATCCAAACCTTCATCAAATCCACCCGATCTAGAAGATCCAGCTATACTCGGAGGTCTAGCCGCACGACCTCCCAAACCAGATGATGAAAGCCTCCGTTCACCACCTCCTCCAATCTTACCTCCCATAGCATTCCCCCCCGTCGCATTCTTCACTCCATCTCCCCGACCAGAACCACCTCCAGCCTTCTTCCCTCCTCGAATCTCCTTTCCTCCACCGCTCCTCGTCGAAGGGTGATGAGGGGGTGACCGCGGGTCACCCCCCACCATAATCCACGAAAGAACCCCGTCCAACTACGGCGACGAGATCTCCGATCCAAGAGAGATACCCCTCCGATCAGCGTCGTACGAATTTTTCCCTTCGAAATCGCCTTCAAAATCTCCTCAGAAAGGAGAGAGAGAGAGAGAGAGAGAGAGAGAGAGAGAGAGAGAGAG